TCCTGAAGGATCGGCAAGGGTTCATTCTATATACTGAGATACCTTGAGTCAGAAGGGTAAACGACATGCCTATCCTGCGAGACTGAGTGAGAGTCTGGGAAGAATGCTGTTACTGTGCTAGTCAAGTTTGAATCAAATTTTACTTTTCTGCCTTTAAAAAATAATAAGAAAAAAATCAGTATGTTAAACAACGCATTCTTTTCAGAGTGAGCTGGAGCTTCCTGTTTTCAGGCCTTTTTACAGTTGATGGAAGGAGGGGAATTCTGTTATGTCCCCAGTAGCAGTGGACTTGGTTTTACACCCCAGAGACTCTTATTTTTTTATCTTGTCATTTAGTCATCAACACACTTACCTGGCATGTCAGATTACAGTTCAGTGTTACCCTGTCCTCAGAAGAATTTGAGTGTATCCCCTGAATAAAATGCCCCAAATAGTAGGCTAAAGTATTTGAATGGTGTTAGTTTCGCTTGATTTTAGGCTACTGCATTTAGCAAAGAAACTGGATATTAATCTGGAATGAAAGCACTGCAAACGTCCAATTTTTAAGCATGTGACCCAATCATAACATCACAGATCCTTGCTCTTTGGCTTAATGAGTAAGGGACTGATCAAGATCACCAGTTTGTCTGTATACCATAGTTTTCTGATCACAACAATATCCTGGGAGGTTCAGATTTCCTAAACAAACTGAACACAGATCCTTTACTTCCTTGGGTGAGTGCTTAAGCCACTGAGACCATCTTTTCTTCTGGAAGCTTTGTGAGTCTTGTTTGAATTTCCTGGATGCTGCTCAGTGGGAGGGGAGAGGAGGTAGAAGAGTTAGGAGTGAAATTCCCCTCTGGGAAGAAGGAGGGGTGAGGAGAAGGTGGTTTTAGTTTTGTTCTTATTTCTCACTAATTTCCCTGAAGTCAAGTCTGTTTTGCCCATGACAATAACTAGTGAGTGATCTCCCTGTCTTTATCATGAGTGCTGAGCTTTTCCATCATATTTTTTCCCTTTTTCTCTTGAGGACAAGGAGTGATAGAGCAGCTTGGTGGGCATCTGCCGACCAGCCAAGGTCAACCCACCACAATGCTATATATGTTAGACAGCCATAACTAGTTAGACTGGACAGTGTCCACTAAAGGATGGAAATCTTTAGATAGTCTTTAAAAACAGGCTCTGGCAGTAAGGAATCTGGGTAAGTTTCTGTGAAGGGTACTTCTGGAGTATAACAACAGAGAAAGCAGAAGTCTTACTACTGACCTCTGTTGAAATCCCAGTATCACAGCTCATGTAGAGATTGCGTCTTGCCAAAAGCACTTCACTGATGGGATTAGAAGGGATAACTTGTTCAGCAGTATCCATTTACTATGTGGTCACCTCAGCTGTTTCTTCCTGATGATCACATCTGTGACACCCAGATGCCATTGCCTCCAGGGTAGCCACTGGAGAGAGCTAGTGGCAAGAGGCAAATGCCTGACTGTATTCACTCCATAGTGAACTGTGAGTGTCTTATCAAGAGACGAGAATGGTTTTGAATTGGTGGATTTTCTTACTTTCACTAAATGGTAGGTGTTGAAAACGATTTCATCACAGGGATCATGTCCTTTCTCCCAGAGAAAAGGTACACACGCAAAACTTTCTGTGGAACTGCAGGGCAAAGGTTTACTTCATATTTGCATTGTCCTTTTCCTGATAAGGACTGGCTTCGAGTTCAAATCCCAGACTAATAGTTTCTGATTTTGACATGTCTCTACTAGAACCAGGAATTACAGGCAGATTTTTCTTTCCTTTTGTTAATAAAAGGAGTTTCATCAATGTTTTCCTGTTGCTTAGTTGTGGTAAAAGTCTGGTCACTTCTTGTTTTATTTCAGCATCTCAGGAGGTTATCTATTAAGTATTTATGGGGTTAAAAATGAATCCAGATGTGTTTATGCAGTATTTGCTTTAATGCAGTAGGCACAGCTGTTTTTCGGATGTATCCTGGCTAGATTCCAACATGAGCAGTCACATTTTCCCTGTCTCTGAACTCTCTTGTAGTTCTAACTATCAACAAGAACCACAAGAACATTACTAAGCCTGGTATTTCCAAAAACATTCAGTGAGGGTCCTGCTGCTGTGAGAAGAAATTTTAAGCATCAGGTATTTATAAATTCATATGGAGTTGTGGGTTTTTGCCTACTGGTTTTGAACCTTTAGGATTGGATTTCCTGTCTTTTCTTGCCAATGATACAGGCTAAAAGCTTTAAACTGATCTGAAAGTGTGGTTTATTCATATGAGGCCGTGGGTTGGGGCTTTGGTTTGTGGGGGATCAAGTATCACGCAATTTAGGGTATAACTGTGACAGCTGGCAGGGTGGCAGCAGCCAACGGCTGGTTGATAGTACAGATGGATAAAGAAAAAGCATATCCTGATGAAACTTCTTTCTGATGGAAAAGGAGGGCCCACAGCTTGTCCCAAGGCCAAAATTATATAATATATATATATTATCTTAAGGGAAAACTTGAATGTAAAGGGGCAAGACAATAATCTCTATATTCTTAATTAGGCATTAACAATGTCCGATTGCCTGTCCTGTCAAGGGGAATGGAGGTAGCCATGAGTCAGCACCACTACATAAGGCACTGTTTTGGGGTGTGTGATGTCTTTCAACCTTTGGAGTTTCCCTGCTTCTTGGTGGAGGTATTGCCATTTTGGTTTGCTTTTCCTCTTAGGGTTTGTCCTTGTTTATTGTGGCAGAATTAGATTGGACAGGAAAGTACAGGATTGCTTTTCCATGTGGAAGAAATGTGACTTTTATTTGAACTCTGTCCCCTGTGGCATGTGTAAGGGTAGGATTTGAGTTCTGTGTACCTTTTGTGGCCATTGGCCAGACAGGGCAGGGGGTGAAAAAAGTTGTAGCCCTAGAATAAAATTGCTTCTATGTCTGGTGCATTTAGGAGGCTGCTAGAAACTTCTTTTCAGTTTGGAGCTGTATGTGTCTGGGCTTGTCAACAGTTGCCAAGGATATTGCCTCATTTTATAATTGAAAGCAGTAGAGTGGCCAAGAAAAGAGTAGTGATACCAGTTCCGGAGATTTCATTGCACATCTTGATGTCTTCCTTGGAAGATCCAGCATGTGGAAATACCTGAAGGTAGAAGCTTCAGCTTTCCTTTTGACAGCAAGGTTCTCCTTCTCATGGTTTCAGATGAACCACTGATGAGAAAGGACTCTAACACTAGAAAGGGAAACAAAAAGACCAACCCAAACTCAAGACTTTAAAGCTATTCTCATAATCCTGCAGACCTCAATCATAATATTTTTAAGTACAGTTGAAATGCTGATAGCTGTTATAATCGCTGGACCAGAATCTATTTTTATAGATCAGTGATCTCTATATTTCAATATTTATTTGTTTTATCTAAGCAGAGGACAAAATCAGTAGGGGGGAATTATGTGTTTTCAAGATAAAACCACAGCAACACATAAATTGTTATGCAATGATTTCTCTAGTATCCACATGATTAACAGCACAAGTTTTTCCTTGTAATGCATCCAAATAGATTCCTTTTCCCTTAACAGTTTTTCTGTTGCTAATTTGTTCCTTTATGGGATTTTTCAGAGAGTATCTGAATTGCATGGCATTTGTTAGGGGAGAAAATAGAGAAACCTGAGCTGCCATTGTCTTCGGTTAAATTCAGGTCTGTACCCAAAGTGCTGCTATTTTCAGGCCTTAGGGGTCTGCTTAACTCTGCCCAGAGCCAGATCTCGCTGCAAATTGTAGTTAAGTTCAAACTTTCTTTGGTCAAAAGCATATCTGTGAGCTGTGATTCAGGCTTTAGTTTTAAAGTAAATGTTAGGTCAAATAATTTATTATTATTTTTTTTTTTAGAGTTCGGAACTTACTGAAAATGAATAGCAAAGGGATCTGTGGATAACTGTCTCTCTTTTGATATGCTGCCTACAGCTAAAATAAAACTAGTTACAAAGGGCCCCACCCCTGCAATTAACTTAAGGCACAGTTTAGAGCTAATGTGTGTGCTCACACTCAGGCTACAGGAGCTGGAAACAATTCCAGAGCCTGTGTGCGTGCTTACGGCTCTGGCTTTCCCAAGCAAAAGTGAAACCTCCTGTGAAGAAACCCAGAGGCTGAAGGGGTTAAATGAAATACAACTCTCCTTTTCCTGTGCAGTAAGGATTAGTAACCAAACAGAAGCTGGAGAGAAGAGCGCTTAAGAGCCACTGTTTGAACCAGAAGGATAGGAAAGTGGTTTTTGGAGCTTGGCTGCAGAGTGGTGTTAAGTGTCTCAAACTTTTGCACTCACCTTTCACAGGAATACAGAGAAGGTAAGAATTCACTTTGTGTTCTGGGCTGTCTCCTGATCTCTCTACCTGGACACCTATTTTCTATCAGTCTTTTTTTTCAGTGCTGTTTGTGCTTTTTAAAATGTTTTGTATTTCCCACCATTTTTTATCCTTCAGTTAAAAGGGTACAGGGGAGAAGAGAGACCAGAGGCCTGATGAGTGCAGAATTTTATTTCCTAGAAGGGAGGGAAGACGACACTCTGTGTATTTGGTGAATGTGATGTCCTTTTACTCACAGTTAATTATACTGAGACTTAATGTCATCACCACTGCTGTTCCTGATATTGTGGGTGGGAGGTGCAGTGGGGTGGAAGGGAAAGGTATACTTTTGATAGGATGCTGGACAAACGTAGCAGGGATGTTGGCTGGAAAAACATAATTTTTGCTGGTAGGAATGAAAGCCTGCCCAGGTGCAAAGACTCTTGTGTCCCCTCCCTATCACCCCTGGCATGCTCAGCTGCTTCTGTTGGTGTGCAAGCAGGTGCTCCTCATCAGTCCTGGATTGCTTTCAGCTGTGTGACAAACGATCTGTCTTGCCGGCTCTCCCCAGCCAAGTGATGCTGTCAGAGCCACAGATCTGTTTGTGAACTGGGAGGTTTGCACAATGGGATCTCTCATCCCTGAGGAAGCCTGATGCGTGGGACAGGCCAAGGTGGCAGCTTCAGGGACCTGTCCTGGCATGGAGATGGTAATGGGCTGGTGGGAATGTGGCAGGGGAGTGGATTTGCCTGATGCTCTGGTGTTCCTTGTGGGTGGTCAGGTAGAGGAGATTTAAAAACTTGAGTTTCAAAGCTCTGATGAAGGTGATGTCAGTCTTGAATAGGACTAGGAATAGGTGGTGTTAGCACAGGAGCATAGGGAGATGGAATGTTTCTTTAGGTCTGTCATTAGAGACCTTAAAGAGGGTTGTAAACACTTCTGCTTATTACTTTTGGAAGTGTCTTCACAACACTTGGAGTTTATAGATTCTGCATTGCATTTATGAGGGCCTTTCAACAGCTTCTCTCTAAGCTGGTTTGCCACTTATGTGTTTCTCTCCTACCTTCTTTGAGCTGTACCACTCTCTGTAATGCCAGAGCATTTCGCAGTCTCTGTAGATCGAGCGGCCATGAAAACACCTTCTTTCTGAGATGCAGTGTGTTGGTGTGCTACACAGTCATGTGTGTGTTGGACAACTTCATTGTGGACTTTCAGGATGAATGCTTTGCTGTTACAGGGAGCAAAGGGAGGTGTTTGAGATGTGCAGCAAAGGTTAGGTAGGACCATGTGTCTTTGGCAGGGTGCTAACTTAAACTACTGCTTGTTCATGTCAGTAAATGGCAAGATTAATAAAATGCAACCAAATAAAACACAGAGCAAATTTGCTGCCTCTGGGAGTTTTGCTTTTAGCATGTTTTCCGGTCCAGTGTGAGATAATTGAGACTTCTTTTTCAAGCACATTTTCAGGTTCTCACACACTGTGGAGCATTCTGACACCTCAGAGGTGTTTGTTTGTAAAATATTTTGTTTCATGAGTGTAAATGCTTGATGGCTTCACAGAATTGCTGGGGTTGGGGTAGTTACTCAGTAGCATTTGCATATTCCAAATCTGTATACTAGTAAACAGTCTACTCTGTAGCATTTGAGAAAAGGTCTGCGACAAATGAGGTGCTTTTCAAGCAACTGTGTAGGTTTTTGTTTGCTGTTGTCTCTCTGTATATATATATAAAATAGCATTAAGTATAAAACAAACTAAGTTATCTTAATTTTAAGGGGAAAGTAGAATTATTATGGTACTATAATGCTGTGGAGAAGTTAGAGAATGGATGATTCTCAAATGCCTGTAATGCTTTTTGGTGAAGATCCTGTAACTCAGTTTTTGGGTTTGGCTCTCTCTCAGATGCAGCCACTTACCAGATTGGTAAAAGAGACTGCTGGTAGAGCTCATTTAATCTAATTGCTTCAGGGATTGCTTGCCTCACAAATTAGGCACCAAGATTCAGGTGGAATCTGTACGAGTGGCTGTGCCCTGACTTGCTGAAAGGGTTTAGGAAATGGGAAGGGATTTTAGTTGGTGTAACTGGTTTTCCTGGTGGTACTTAGGTTTGAGTTAGATCAAGTTTTATTCTAAAGAAACACAGATGTTCTGCTAAAATGGGGAACCTGGGGAAAAAAACTCCTCTGATCTTGATTGAGGGTCCCTTCTTCTGGATGCAGTGTTAATAGAACAAAATACCATTCTTTGCCTCAGAACAGGTAGGGCTTAGGCTGCCAGAAGTCTTTCTCTTTGTTCCGAGCAGAGCTTTAAATGTTAATAAGATGTTAACCATTTTATTAGATCATGTATGTACCTTGCGACTCATCAATACACAGCAAACAAATAGCTTGCTTATAAGAGGATAGGAGCTGCTGTTGTGTATGAGAGCAGCACCTAGAATATGCAATTATGATCATCCTCACGATAGGTGCTATAGGCTCATCGTTAGCTGAGTGAAGGGGGAAATGTTCTCCTTGTGGCATATCGACATTTGGTGAACTACAGAGGAAATAAGTTGCTTTGCTCTTAGGTCTGTGGGAAGGATTATACAAAACTGATGATGAGCCCCTCAGTGTACCTAGCACAGCTGCTGAGCCTAGACAGTGATGGATGAATGCTCTGCTCCAGGAACAGTCATTTGCAGTTATGCCCATGGTATGATGGACTTGTCAAAAGAATTTCTTTCACTGGAAATAATAGTCTGCCGGATAAAGTTTCACTGTCTCATTTTTTAACACTCTTGGACCTGAAATGTGATTTGTTGTGGTCCAGTCTTGTCTTGGATGATTAATAATAATGGTTACTAGATGTCTGAGAATGGACTTTAATATAACAGGATTTGAGTGGGTACCTACTCAAATGTATAGTCTATGTACAAACCGCTTGTTTATGCTTTCTCACACAGTAACAAGCTCGCCTTCTTGACATGCAGGCATGATGTATAGAAAACAAGTACCATCCACGGAATGTTTATTTCTCTGCCTAACCCTTAAAGCAGTAATTGGAGGCTCTGGTTTGGGCATCTGTGGGAGAAACCAGCTTGAGAGCAAAAAAACCAATTTATTTTTAGATCACACTGTTGTCATTTTGCTGTGATCACACAGTCGAGCATGTGCTTCCTTTGAGATCTCTCCAGGCGCTGCAGTGTGATCACACCCTCCTAAGATCATTTTTTATGAAGTTAATTTTTAGTGACAGATGAAAGATGCTAGGGCCGGTATCCTTAGAGACTGTAGCCCTAATTCCACTAGCGCGTGTTCTGCCTCCTAAGTTTGTTAGGCAAAAGTTCGAGGTTTGGTTGGTGGGTTTTTTTTCCCCTTTTGATTTCTTTTAGTTTTCCTCATGTTAGTCATCTTTCCCTTGCAAAGCAGCGTCAGTAAGCCCACTGACTTCTCTGGGGGAACTCCTGCTTCATATCACTGCAGGTATGTCTGCTTCACAGTCAGTAAGGGTGATTCCTTAGGGAACAGATATACCCACACAAGTGTGGCGTGCTCGACATGTTTATAGATATATATAGTTAAAACTGAGTTAGCTTTAAAAAAAAAAAAAGTATCTTAGGTTCCAGAAACAATGTAGAGGCAGCAGCAATCAAAACCCTCATGAGGTTCAGGATAAACACTCTCATGTTTTCCTGTCTACGTTATTAGTCCCCAAGCAAATTTATTTAAAGGTAACACAGGTGTTCCCTATGTGTACTACAAGCATAATGTTGGATGTAGTGCTAACATCCCGTCAGTGAACAGATGTAGGTCTTGCAAACAGGCAGAAAACAATTTACATTGTTTTAAAATTTCCTTTTGAGATAACGCTCATTTTTTATTTTTATTTTTTAACCCTTTGCACAGCGCAGAAGATTGTCATCTTCATATTTAGGATGGAACGAAGTTAAATAAAATAGAAAGTAATTTTCCAAAATTGAAATCCTTTACTTTCCTAAAGAAGTCTCCAAAATTTGAATTGGAAGGCATTAGTCTCAGCAGGCTAACATGTTTGTAAACAGCAGCAGTGTTCAGTGTTGGGTAATGTTTCCTATCAGTCTAAATAACTCATAAATGAAGCTTGAGCTGTGACAGGAGAGTAGTAAAAGTAAAAGGTTGTTAGCCATCCCTCTTCAATAATGTTAGTGTTTGGGATATTATATCCTTGTTGTGTATTTTCCATAGGCAGTGTGTGGCTTCTTGTTGCAATGTTAACTGTCTAAATTAGTCTGTGTGCACTTGTCGTTATCCCTATGTGCTCCCAGATTTAATTAACAGCTAGCACAGTGAGACTACCAAAATAGATGGCAGAATCCTATCTTTACTCCTTATAATAAATCTCTGGTTGCAAACCTAATAGTGGAAGGCTGGTTGCAGAAAATTGGATCTCAGCTGATCTTAATAGGTAGACAGAAAGTTGTCCTCGTGAAATATTGTATTAGCTGCTGAAAAAGGGCTGACATAGCGACCACATTTACTTGAAAGATGCTGCTTCACTGACCTAAATCTTAGATACTTCATTGTGGATTTTGGGAAAGAAGCAGATCTGCCTCTTTGCCTGCCCACTGTTAGGGTATGGTGTGAGGCTTGACTAGGGCTTCTGTGTGCTTCACAGTCTGATCACACTCTTGCACCTGATGATTTTTCAGCTACAGTTTTGTGTGATTTTGGTATTTGAATTAGAATTGTAGGACAGAGGCAGGTACCGCTTTCCCAGGTGTTGCTGCACTTGGCATTGCTGTAGAAGTCCTCTGTAAAAGCATTATCAGTCTGAGTCAGCCACAGTAAGCGATGGCCCGGTGCAGATTTATGTGCCTGTTATGAATCACCTGAAGGCTGAGATGAAAGCCTATTGACAGAGCAGTCTGGAAGATGCTTATATGTTACCACTACTCAGTTCTGCAGCCAGCTGGTGCTCTGCTGCTCTGCTCATTAGTAAGTTTTTGTAACTATTTTTTCATCTAACAAGGTGAATTTTAAAGTTATTCTAACTAAAATTTTATCTTTCATAATATGGCTGAAAGTATATCGCAGCAGGATTACTTTCTTGCTGAAGGTATTTCAACTCCTGTCATGTATTTAGAGTGAATTAATAAATCTGGATACCAATGGTAAAGATACCTCCGTAAAACTGTTACTCAGAAAATTTGTGTCTTGTTCTCCTTTATTCTTTCTCCTTCCCCATTAAGCCCTTTCAGCCAGACTTGTATTTAAACACATGTTTATAAACATTTATCCCTTGCTTTGTATATAAACAGCTCTTTATGAATGTGGCTCACCGTGTGGTCAAGGCGAAGGAAATTCAGCATCCTCCCGCTTCAACAGGCACATGCACATTAATTGGCTTATCTGCCCTAGCCCAAAGGACAACAGACCCAGGATTTTCTTTGGAAAAATGTCAAACAAAAGATGCTTTACTATATTCAGGGAAGAAAACAAGCCTGTTTAGAAGTATCTTGAATGTGGTATCTTCTGCCTAAAAGGGTGATTGGTTTCTTGTTCCTCTGGGCTGTGTGATGCGTTGTGATTCTCACGCTTTCCCAACTTGGCTCCCAGCCCAAGTAAAAGGAGGTTTTTCCCTACCCTCGATCTCTGCTCCACAGAGCCCCTTTCTCTCCCCGACTTCATCTCATCTTTTTGCTGTTTGTATATATTTTCCCTTTTTAACTCTTCCACCCAAAACTTAAAAGGTGCTACTGAGCAGACAAGGCAAACAAAAGCAAGCTGGAACCAAGATAGGCTGGATGTTTTGAGAGCAAAGCAAAAATCATGATGACTTTAGAAAATGTAATGAGTCTGAAAGCGAAAAGACTTTGCTCTGAGTCAATGACTAACAAAATTTATGCCAGTGGATAATTGGGGAACATACCATCCTTTGTGACTTCCCACCTCCTTCAACCAAACTTCTAAAAATATAACAACTGAGTGAGATATGATATGTTAAGGGTGGGTGTTAAAGGGGTGGAGTTGGGACTGGAGGAAAGGGAAGGAAATTCTGAAAAGGTGTGAGTAGCGGGATCACAGTGACAGCTTTTGATTTAGTGCTAGATGTGCTAAACTTTACAATAAGCAATTTCTATCTATATTGCAACAGGCAAATATTTATTGCTGAGGTGGCCCATCTGTGGCTCACATGCAAAGGCATCTTCTGTGTCGGGGCTACCTCAGATGGGAATAATAGATCCAATTTGGGTCATTCAGATCCCCAGCTGGGAGATGAAATGAGCTGTAAGGACCTGCTGAAGCTACTGTTTCTGGGTGGCTTTGCCACTAACCTGCATGCCCAGCTAAGTCTTGTCTGGCAATAGAAAGGTGGGAACCCTGACAGGGTCTTTTTGTCTTCTGCCTATGAACCACTCCCAAAACAGTCCCTGACCCACGTATGTGGTATGTGTCTTTGTCCAAAGGATGATTTAGAAACATGGTTCACAGGCAAAAGACTTGTCTGTCTTATGTGCTAAGCCAGAACAAACATGTAGCACTGGCTGGCTGATTATTTTCAAAAAGAACAGAGAAAAACTCCAACCAATAAATCTGTGAGCAATAGAACTCATGAAGCCTGTTTTATTTTGACTTTGTGATCTGATTCTGTAGTGTCTAAACAGCTTAAGTTCTTGTTTAAGCAAGGCTGACTTATTTGTAACCTCTTTCAAGCTTGGATTCCCGCCTATTGAAAAAAAGGCATCATCTAAATAGGTTAGAAGTCCAGTATGTTTCTCCATCCTGGCCCAATGTCTTGTCCCTCAAACAAAAGTTAAGTTTATGCTGTTGAAACCCTGAAATTAGGCAGCTGATTCAAAGTTATTTTTACATATATATGCAGGCAATGTAGGTCTTGTTTTCCTAGGAACACAGATTTTGAGAGGTTATTTGGAAAAGAGGCCAAGTTTAAGTAAACAATCTTGTATCTTGTTTATGCATTGGAAGGCAGGATTTGCACGCATAAAATAAATATAGGAGTCATTAAAATTATCCATGATTCTGAAACATACTCATGGTTTTAATGAAGATTTGACTCATCTTGCTAAGCCTGCCTGGCCTTGGATAAGAGTTTGTAACTAAATAAAATATTTTTACAGCAGTTCACTGCTGGCTCCACTATAGAGAAATCTCCAAGATTTCTGGCCATCTGTCTTTTCTAGACCTTCTTTTTGTTAAGGCAAAAACTTCTTTCCTGAGTTGGTTCAGTGTTAAGCCCTTAAATAAGGGCACTTATCACAGTTTCCAGTTGTACTGCAGTTCTTGTGTTCTGTCTAGAGTTATGAAATTCCAGCCTTCTCCTTTATGGCCCTCTAGCCCTCTTGTCCACAGTGCCAGGGAGAAGCAGGTGCTGTGGAGGCAGATCAGAAAGGGCACCAGTACATCCTTTCAGAAGTTTCTGCAATTTCCTCAAAATACGATTGGATCCATACTGTTTTGGAATAGATGTAAAGGTCCTGAGCTGCTACGTCAGACTCAAATTTGGACTTCTCCAGTGTTCAGAGAAGCTTGGGTCAGTATCTCTTAGAGAAAACAGCTCCATAGTTCATGTGCGGACTGACTCTTTTTGACCAAGCTTCAAGAAGGCTAGAACCAGCCATCACCACTTCAACCCATTACATGCACCTAACATGAGCAGTTAATGCCAGATGTGGTTGTCTAGGCAATTTGAATCTCTTCCTGTGTATGGAACAGAGATTTCAGCTGAGCATACCTCTGGTTCTGGTTGAAGATTCTGGTTGTTCCTTACTTACTGTGAACTGATTCTCATAATCTCTCTCGATGAGATGACTTCATATTTTAACACCATGGCACGAATTCCTCCAATGTGAGCTTTCCAGCAGCTGTTCCATATCTTGAGCATAAAGTCACCGTTTCCCCTCAGGCCCTGCTGCTGTTTCTGGGTGGAGGGGGGTGGAGATGCTGTTCTAGCTCACAGTGGGAAAAGGGAGCTGGGAGGGCTGAAGAGCATTGAAGAAAGGCAGGAGGCACAGGGAGCAGCAGCTGCTGTTGTTACAAGTGAAAGCTCTGCAAAACACTGTCCTTTTCATTCCTTCCCCCGCACACCCAGCCTTCAGTGAGAAGAATGGTAAACAAGCAGAATAAACATATGCTACTCTATCCCAGGTCCTACAAGAAGTGAAAAAGCTGTTAAAGCCAGAAACAGAACTTAAACCTTTTTTGGGGGTTTCAGACAGATTCCTCAGTCCCATCTGTGTTGTTTGTGGTTGAAAGTAAGGCAAAAGGGATCCATGCTGAATACTACATCTGAGGAAGCTTTTAAAAGAGCAAGTTTGTCGAAGCTCTAAGAATCAGACACAAGATTTGTTTTGCAGTGCAGGATTTAATAGGATACACATGGCCCTGTTGTTCCTTCTGACCATCCTTCCTGGAATCTGTTGACGAAATGTAATAGAACTGGATGGTCTAAACTTTTTAACGCTAAATTTGGGACCTAGGACAGCAATTCCCATGCAAGTGCAATGGCACAAAAATACAAGCAAGGACCAGACTTGTAACCTTTTGCTGCTTTATAGAATCATGGGTTGGAAGGGACCTTAAAGATCATCTAGTTCCAGCTCCCCTGCCATGGGCAGGGACACCTCCCACTAGACCAGGACCAGGTTTCTTAAAGCCGCGTCCAACCTGGGCTTGAACACCTCCATGGATGGGCCATCCACGGCTTCTCTGGGCAACCTCTTCCAGTGTCTCACCACCCTCACAGTAAAGAATTTCTTCCTGATACTTAATCTAAATCTCCCCTCTTGGGCCTTGGTTTGCTGCAACTCAAAAGAAGAATAATAAAGCGGCAACAGGCAATGCACCAATGAAGTACTGTGGTCCCAAATATGTATAATGCCCTGATTTTTAGGAACTTTTGTGTCCTGTATGTGTAGCCTGATCTCTGTTCTAGCTCTACGGAAGGGATATAACTACTGATGGTTGAATCTAGCTATAGCTGTCCTTGATGAACTGTAGGATTTTAAACAAGCAAGATAACACAAAGACAGACATGAAGCTTCCCCAAGATGAATACAGGGCACAAAAATGTTAACTGTGGAATTTCTTACCTTGGGTTGGTTGAAGTCATTGCAATCTTCAAGTATTTTATCATGTGTATATGTAAAGGGGTGGGAGGGCAGACATGCAACAGCATGCATCGTACCCTGTGCCCGGGGATGGTGTGCTCGTAATACCAGAGGAAAGTTCAGGGAGATGTTTGCACTCAGTAATTACATTCTGGCTTTCTGTGCAGGCTAATTTCAGTCTTGGCAGTTGCCTTCATTTATCCAGGGAGTGTAGTGATAAAACTGATTTTCTTCTCTCACCTTGATTTTATTTCCCCCTCCATTTTTATTATATGGTGTCTTAGATTTTCTGCCATACAAGCAGCAAAGAAGCAAGCAACTCTGATCAATAACCTTTCTGTTCCCACAGGCAGAGATGAAGAACTTGTTCCTTCTGCTCCTGCTGGTAATGATACCATCTTCTGCATTTTCAGTAAGTAAAAGCTCTTCTGAACACTATTACGAGAAATAAAAGATACTTCTGTTAAGGACTGTCAACATCTGTAACTCAAGTATTTTGTAGGAAGTATTCCTGAAAGAGGTAATGGGTTCAAGTCATCAGGCCTACTGTGGTACATTATGAAAAGTTTAACGTGGCAATTAAATAACAAAATTCTGGTAGTGCCTTTGGCTCTAGGGGTTATTTGCAAAGCAGTAATTGCTGTCTCCTGCTTCAAAGCTGCAGAGAGTTCTCACTTGAAGTAAAAAGAATGAATCTTTGGTTAGCTGTTTTTTCTCTTTTCTTTGGTCTTAGTGGTCTAAGCCCTGTGGTTTAGCTTTACTGGGGGATGTAATCTTTCTGTTAAACCAATTTGATATTGTCAGAAAAAGAGCACAGCTATTAGGAACTGGGACTCCTCTTCCTTTCTGAGAGAGAAGTAGGATCTTTCTGAAGTAAGTGCAGCTTGAGAACAGTTTCTCTGAGTTTAACTTCAATTATATTAATAAGTTGGACATCTGAGGTAAAAGGTGACCTGCTGAGTAGAGTGGAAGTGTTAGTGAAGGAAGATGTGATATGTTTGTTAGGTGTAAGGAACAGAGAGGGGGGGAAAAAAAGAAGTAATTATCACCTGGAGTAAGTGTTTTGTGGAAGTAGTGAGGAATTATAAATATGCTATTAAAATTAATGAGTCCATAACTTTTAATCTCCAGTAGGATTATGAATTTCTGTTCCTGGATTCAGCATTTGCAAGTCCTTTCTAGGACTTCTTTGAAGATCAGGGTTGAGAGGCCAGAAATCAAGCAGAGTTTGCTAGTCTTCATAGATTTCCCATCTTACGATGGAAATATGCTTAAATGAGATCTTGCTGTCTCACATCTAATAGAAGATGGTGCTGTATGTTAAAAGAACCAGAAACAGAATATACTATATTCAGTTCATCTGTTCACCTGCCTGTCTCCAACCTGGTGATCTTTTGGAAGGGAAATGACTGAAACACCCTGCAACTGTGAAGGCTGACATTTCTCTGTAGTGTTAGACTCTGTCCCCTGCATGTGATCAGTACCTCCTCTTGAAGCTATGCTGAATGAAGGGAGAAGGTTTTGCTTGGCTGCCACTTAATTTTAGTTTCCCTGACATGCTGGATCTGTCCGAGCCGTGAGGCAGCAGGAAGATCCAGGAACACTGAGGCACTCTGCTGCAGTAATTCCCCATTATTTTTTTTCTGGGAGGGAAGAGAGAAATGGTGTTGGTTTCATATGGGCTGTTCCTTACCAGATGCTAATGCAAGTAGGCTGAAGCATAGCAAGAGACAGTCAGCTTGTAAGAGCTGGAAGGACTGACTGTGGCGATGGCAACTCAAGTCTGTGCTAGATCAGGCGATGCACCAGAAGAGTAGTGGAGCTGCCTGAACTCTCACAGGTGGGGCAGCTCTGGAGAAGCAGTGTCTGCGTGCCTCCGTGTCACTGCTGCAGAAGAGCAGCAGGGCTACCCTGCTGCTATAAATGCCCTTTTTGTACTTACGTGGTGGGAGAAAGGAAGGGAAGGAGAGGGTGAGACTGAAATCTGAGGCAGGGAATACTGCACGGTGGGAAAATTAGTTGGAGAATTGCTTGCTGTTCTACACCATTCTCCAGTCCTTTAGGGCTTCATCTGAGATGGCAGGCTTATTGAAAAGTAACTTTAATCCATGTCATATAGCATTGAAAAGATCCCTTCCCTGTGCTGTTCTTTTCTAATTCTCAGTGGCAGAGGTATGAGATTGTCAGGTGGCATGGTGCATTTCCCCACACTGAAGGAGAAACAATTCCTTGAATGTATAGTTGCATATCTCTGAGAAATTAAGGCTAAATATTAGATCCAGGGCAGCCTTGCAGCAGAGACAGCAGCAATTGTTTTGATTTTCATACCAATGAGCTGCCAGTATAGCAGCAACAGGTAGAAAGGGGGGTCACCTCCAGCTATACAGTGAATAATGTACACCTCAGGGAGAAGGTGGGAGAACTAAAGCAGCAGAAAAGGCACAGATTAGCATGTGTAGATTTTATTCCAGAATGACCCACTTACCTCTGAGATCCATCCTGTCTACCAATGCAAACAACAATTGTTTCTCGGGCACCTTTTGTCCCAGAAGCAGGAACACATGAACTTGCAAACACTCAGACTAATAGTGCTAATGGGAGTACAGCTATAACTGTGTGAACTGCAGACTTACACAAGGATGGACAAGATGGATCTACAGGGATTCATGTCTGCTTGTGATTAAAGGGTGTAGATTGATGCCTGCTGGTTTTCATCTTTTCCACTTTTGGAGTGGAGTAGCTGAACTTCAGGTTATTGATTGTTAGGCTAGGGAAAGCAGTGAGCAGAATAAGGGCAGAAATGTTGACAGGGCTAAGTACCTGAAGAGCAGCTGAGGCTATTGCCTACATCTTCTCTCTGCTTGCAGTCTCAGAGTGGCTGGTTTACCTGCCAGACATGGCAGACAGCATTAAGCAGGAAGAGAGAAACTCCTGCTTGTCAAAGCCACTGGCTGCTGAGAGTTTCCTGCCCAGTGCTTCATCCTCAGCAGGACCCACTAGACTCTTCTTCCCTTCTTCCCTGCTAGAATATGGAGAGGGTCTTGCCATACCATACCTGTGGTGTCTCTCTCTTTTCACCAGGCTTTGAAGGATCTGGTAAAGGAGGTCACCCTTTACTTGCAGGTTTTTTATTGTTTGCACTGTGATGATAGAATCATAGAATGGTTAGGGTTGGAAAGGATCTTAAAGATCATCTAGTTCCACTCCCACTGCCACGGGCAGGGACACCTCCCACTACACCAGGTTACTCAAAATCCCATCCCTTGAAGAATTCCAGAGGAGGGCCATCCACATCTTCTCTGGGCATCCTGTTCCAATGTCTCACCACCCTCACAGTAAAGAATATCTCCCTCATTTCTAATCTAAATCTCCCTCTTTCGGTTTAAAACTGTTAGCCCTCATCCTATTGCTACACTCCCTGATAAAGAGTCCCTCCCCATCTCTCCTGTAGGCCCCCTTTGAGTACTGAAAGACTGCAGTACTGGAAACTACAGCTGCATGGTCAGAAGGGGCTGTACAAAGACAAAACAAAGATGTCTCTTCATCTTATATATGGCTGTCTCTCCTTATATTCTAGCTGTTAATGTAGAACTGAGACAGAATTGTCTAGTGCAATTTCAGGCCATCCTGTCATTGCTTCTGGGAAGGCTGTGAACAGTGGCAATAATGGAAAATGCCAGGTTCAAGTGTTTTTGTCGTGATTCTTCCTGTATTTTCAGAGAAGGATGAAATGATGTGAAACTGCCTGAGCCCTGTCCAGTAGTGCTACTGCTGATAGAATGGTGCTTCTGGTGATTTAGAAAAAATACATTCTAAAGGTTTTCCATGTGAAAAATTCTTCTATTACTGTTGCATGCATGTATTCAGCATGATTGTGGGTGTGTATTGTATGCTTTGGGGTTGCTTTATATTTAGTAAACGTAACATCCATCAGGTTTCTCTCTGTCTCAATTTCTTTTTTACAAGTGTGATTTCATGTTGGCAAATTTTTGCAACTGGAATTCCTTCTTTTCAGATTGGAAATGTCTTATCAGCCCATACCATGGAACTATTTCAAGGAAAAGCTCCTCATCAGAGGAAGAGTTTTGTTTAATCTTTTATGATCTGTAGACATTAGCTGATGGTTAGATGATGTCCAATACTTATATTTGCTCCTACATTGTACTGCAGGTGTGCTGAAAGTGAAGGCTGGTCTGGGGCTTGACTGAAAATCATATTCAAATACATTTCATCTGGACAGCTTTCTATGGGTCTGCATTTCTAGTGCTGTTTTTAATTTCTTCTAAAGAAATGAGCATAGTTATTGTTTAAACAGTGTTATCTATTGACTAAACTTCTAAGCCCCTCAATCAGATCTGACAGGAGGGGCAGAAAGTGCAGAAGGACCTCAAAATACAGAAACAGTGAAAATTGCTGCGAGGAGGGAGAAAGAGAATGAGATCTTATTAATGGTACTATTGAGGGAAAGGTAGAAAAAATGCATAAGAATCGTTGTTCTGGGTAGGACTAGTTCATCTTGCCCTATAACCTATCTCTAGCTATGTCACAAACACATGTATAGAAAAAAACTATAAGAAGATTGGTAAGTTAAGTACAATTTCCCCCAATATGCTTCTAGTCATTTGTAACTTATGAACACTTTAGAGCTGGAGAAGTCTCTATTTCTTTTCCTTGAATTTGGTTAGTGTCTCCTTGAAGCCATGTAGACTTCTAGCATCATAACACCAAAATTCTGCTCTTGAGTGGTAAGGATCAGCTCATATGTAATAATTTTATTTTTTTAGGGTAGGATTACCTACATGAAGTCTCAACTGTCATTTTATAGCAACAAGTCACTTATACTATAATGGAACAACATTCCGTTGCTCTTTGCAGTATGTCCCTGCTTCTCTATTACCCTAAATTAACCTTATCAGCTGCCTTTCTTACTTCTGTGGTTTTGGTGTAACTTAGAAATGTGTTGAGCAGTTCTGGTTCCTTACAGAATTTTGCTGCTAATGTCAGTTCTTGCAGTGTATGGAGATTTCACTCCTACCTTTGTTTTTGTCTCTGGGCCACCTGTTCATCACCCATGCAAGGACTTTCCTTTTGGCTGCTTGTCTTGTTTCAAAGCTTTAGGTGAAGGATTTTGCTGAAAGCTTTTTGGAATTCTGAGTGTTATCTGACAAGTTACCCTTGTTGACATGTTTGTGAATCTCTCAAAGAACTGCAATACTCTTAGAAGGATTTGCCTTTAAAAAAGCCTTACTGACTTTCTCCCAAACAGACTGTATTTATGCAGGTGCTGGCTAATTCTTTGTTATAATTTCTATTAATTTATCAGTAGACGTCAGCTTTACATTATGTGGGTGTACAGTTCCTTGGGTTCCCTGGGATCCTTTCACTGAATTTCACTGAATTTCACTGAATTTC